GGGGGGGGGACACCAAAAAACCAAAAAACACTGGTGCTGAACAGTGGCAAATTACAAAAAAAATGCCCAACAAATGTCCAACAAATTATGGACCTAACAATATGGCTGATCCAACCATGTAGGCTTAGCTTTTATTATTAATATATTCCTTTATTGAAATAAAATATATTAGTGTTTCCTAAGCCTGGCTTAGTTTATGATGTTAAAAAAAAAAAAAAAACAGCACCACTAATTTAGTCATTCCCAGTTTACTTCTCAAAGAAATAATCGTTCATTTTATGAAAACAAACATTTAACCAAATCCAACTGAATACCAAAAAGGCAGGTCTCTACAGGTTTGTTTTAACTAGTGCCCATTATGTTTAAAAAATTACCATCACTGCTGGCTGATCCAGAAGCTACAACAACAAACAGATGAGACATGAGTAGTGCAGTAAAAAGAGGACATGTTCCTCATAGTACTTAATTCCCCACCTGCCAGCGACTGGAATATGTTCTGTGATTTTCACCTTGTCTTCTCACTAACACCCAAAGGAAAGCCATGTTATACATGTTTTATCTCTATCTATTGACACTGATACTCTCAAAGAGCTTCTCCAGAGGCTATCCGTGAAATCACAGAAATTGCCAACACTTTTGAGAGCTGTCAGCTCCTTCTCTGCTTGCCCACTCAGTACATTTGCTTGTTTGTTTCTCCGCTTTTTCTTCTTGTCTGTCCAAGTAAGTAAAAGGCACAGTACAAAGAAGTCTTTTTTACTCTGAGTTCATCAAATGTTAAAAACATAAATAAATAAATCTTAGTCCTTTGATATTACAACTATTTATGTCAATACAACCACCCCAAAGGGGAATGCACTGCGCAAGCATTCGATATATCAAAAATTGGAGGGAGATTTGAAGTTATAGTGTTTGCTTATAAAACTAAATCATCTACTTTTCTAAACTATTTCTCTCTACTGCTGATGGCAAGTTAAAACTAAATTCACTGTAAAATTAAAAGACTCCATTTAGACTGACGCAATTTCTAAAATTACACAAGTTCCTTGGATAATAATTCACCGATCAATCACAGAGTTAAAACACTGGCTGGAGGTCTACACTCTTGAAGGATGATGTTACAACTTAACTTTACAAGGTCGCATAATAAATCCAAGTCTGTGGTTGCTTTGGCAACACATGTAACACGGTCCACGGACAGAGTTTTATAGGCGTTAGAAGAGGCTCTTCATGTTAAACCAACAGGCTAACAAGTATTTTGAGCAACACGAAATACTTCAGATTAGCTACTACCTACCTGCAAAGACTTATCTTTAACACTGGTGAGTACGAAGAGTAAAAATACGAACAAACTACAGTCTTCAAATCTGCATCTTAATAATGATTAACTGCTTTTACTTTAGTAAAATGTACAAGACAATCCCAACTTCAAATGTTTGTCAGATTTAACTAGATATAAAACCTTTTAAATTTCAATAGCTTTTATAAAAAAAAGTAAATAATAAAAAAAAGAAAATAGAAAAAATGTAGGGGAGAAATACTGCTCAGAAAGGTCAGGTCAGCGTCATGCACCTTTATACAATTATACAGGTGCAAGTAGTAATGGGGGTTATGCTTCTTTAACAGATCAATTGAAATCCCTCAGTGCATGACTAACATGCAGGTTACAATTTCACAAACTCCCACAGTAACATATCTGAAATTAGTTTGGGACCAACTAAAACTGATGCTGCAAGATAAGAAAAGCAAGTAATAATTAAAAAAAAAAAAAATTAAAAAAAAATAAAAAAATCTACTAACCTTTTGTTTCTGTTGTAGAGCAAACATCAAGGCAGATCATGCAGCCAAGCAGAAGTTGCAAAAGAAAACAAGAGAAAAAAAAAGAAAAGAGAAAGTAATGAAGCAGAGACAAAGCAAACAGAAAAAAAGAAGAAGACAGTGTTATTTGAAGTAAGCATTACTTTAGACTTTTTGATGTCAGTCAAGAAATAACAAAGCACTACACTGAATGAAAAGTGATGCTGGAGACTATAGAAAGAGTTCATGTACTATATGCACTGCCAAGAAATATGTATAATTGTTATGACAGTTTAGGTTCAATTTTGATTTCTTTCCAATAAAATCAAACAAAAAGCAGAAGCATCACACAATTTTGAGATCTCTCTGTTCATTGAAATAGGCGTAATGTTCTAACATTCAACACTTATTTGAAGCAACAATGACACCGATGGCTGATGATGACTGTGTCATAATCACATCAGACATTACATGTCAGAGGCTTGTTTCTCTCATTTGAATAGATCACATTACACAGACTGATTGCTCTCATCGCATGCATCGGCATATTGTTTGCCAGATTTTAAACCTGCATAACTGTTTTGGCCACATTCACAGCAGCGACTGGAGCTAAAGTGCAAATTTCACATCTAATGTCTAGATAAGAATCTGAAATGTTCCAGTTAAACATTCTGTAACGTATTTTCCGTTGTGCTTGTGCTTGCACAAAAAATGTAAAACAATATTCTCATCTACTTCCAATCTTTTGACATGGATGTGCAATTTTGTCACATTATTCCGCCCAAGTTCACATGGATTTTTCGGCAAAAACAGTTCCACAAAACAAAAACAAAAACTGTGGTTACATATGTGTGCAGTTATGAAAATAAATACACTATTTTCCAGTTGTTTTGATGTTATTCATTGCACAGGTCACCACACAATCTGTGACAATGACTTATAACAGAGCTAAAGCCTACACCACTTTTAATTCTCTGACTTTTGGAGTTTGCTGGTGAAGCTTAAGACCTCCATTCTTTCCTTATGGCTTCTTACTTCAGCAACTGATACAGTAACCACAAAGACAGCAATTATGGCCCTCAGTTGTCAAGGGAGCAGATTAAACCTTTGAGTTCAGAAGCTGACATTGTAACAACAATAACTTTGTTTAATTTACTATTTGTGATTATTCAACATAAGATAAGTCTCAGTTATAGATATAATAATTAACTTTGGCTAACACCATAATAAATAGCAAATGCAATTAAAAATCAAACAGGACAAGACAGCTGACCTACAGTGGCTTGCAAAAGTATTCAGCCCCCTTGAACTTTTCCACATGTTGACAGATTACAGCCACAAACATGAATCAATTTTATTGGAATTCCACATGAAAGACCAACACAAAGTGGTGTACACGTGAGAAGTGGAACGAAAATCATACATGATTCCAAACATTTTTTTTACAAATAAATAACTGAAGAGTGGGGTGTGCGTAATTATTCAGCCCCCTGAGTCAATACTTTGTAGAACCACCTTTTGCTGCAAGCTCTGAAAACTGCTATTCACAAACGCTGTCCATCTAATCTGACTGAGCTGGAGCTGTTTTGCAAAGAAGAATGGGCAAGGATTTCAGTCTCTAGATGTGCAAAGCTGGTAGAGACATACGCTAAAAGACTAGCAGCTATAATTGCAGCAAAAAGTGGTTCTGCAAAGTATTGCCTCAGGGGGCTGAATAATTACGCACACCCCACTTTTCAGTTATTTATTTGTAAAAAAAAATGTTTGGAATCATGTATGATTTTCGTTCCACTTCTCACGTGTACACCATTTTGTATTGTCTTTCACCTGGAATTCCAATAAAATTGATTCATGTTTGTGGCCATAATGTGACAAAATGTGGAAAAGTTCAAGGGGGCCGAATACTTTTGCAAGCCACTGTATGTAAGCACACCGATTCAGGTGCTTGTCTTACACTGTAAAAGTAGACGAGGAATATTAACAATAACAAACAAGAATCATTTTTTAATGTGTTTATTAAAGACTTGTTCCAGACATTGCTGTAATTTGCCCAAGACTGATAAGAAAATGTAGCAAACAACAACAACAGTTTTACACTAAACAGTTATTTATGTTAAAGTTTACAATTCCTATTATCTATGTTTATGGGAAAATTGTCCCTCAGATAATGGGAGATTTAATCTATATGAAATAAACTAATATAACCTTTTAGCTATATGCAATGGGAAAATGATAACATCTTAGGAAGAATGTGGGGAGAAATGGGAGTCCGTGCCTGGAGTTGTAATGGCATGAACTGACCAGGGACTAACAGGAATAGCAGATAAAACATTGGGAAGATTAAGTGAAGCAAAAAAAAAAAAAAAGAAACCCCCAGCCATGGTTCTGCATGTGTGCACAGACAGGGGCGGGCTTGGACGAGGTTAATTATTTAATAGCCAGTAAATGTTATCGTAAACATATATATTAGGGATAATTGAGTAACCATAAGCAGCGTTAAATCTTATTAAAGTCAACATCTATTGCCTTGGTAAGTGGCTTTAAAAGATTGTCTCAAAGGTCCTCAGACAATTACTGTATGGGTGGCTTTATTAGACCTACTGCTTCTCTACTGGGAACTGTCACTCTTCAAAGAAATGCAATTTTGCAAACTGCTTGCTCCTAAGTGGTTCACCTTAAAAGGTTAGCATGAGAAATGGTGAGATTTTTGACATTCAATGCAATGCACAGAGCTACACTCAGCACCACCCATTTTTGATGCTTTGAAAAGTTGATCTTAAGTTGGGGAGTTTTTGCTGTTTTGTTTTTTTTTATTTTATTTTTTATTGTGAACGCAAGCAGTGGGGGAATGGTCTAAAGGGAGCTTACAAGAAAAGCTGTCTACTTGCATGCACTACCACTGGCTGAACTGCAGTGGTGCTGTAAGAGAAAGAAAGTGGGGGAGAAGTATAAATTATAATTAATTAATTATAAGTATAGCCGAGCTGAAGTTGACTTCCCTGTCCAAAGTAATGTTTACACTTTACAAATTAGGTTTTGTTTAGACAGTTATGTTAAAACACGACAATAACTTTCTATACTCGTGTTTGAGGTTTGAATTGCTGCAGTGTTAAACCTCATCCTACCAAATAGGGTCTGCACAGACCCCAGAGGTATAAGTTGTCATCATATCTGACAGGATATTTAATGCAAGTAGGGTAGTTAATGATTGTTTGCCATGGATCCTGGACTGAAGTATCAGAGTAGCAACAGGAATAAGGTTAATCTGTCATTTTAAAGGACAAAGACCTAGGGCTGGGCGATATATCGAGTTTTTTAAAAAATATCGATATATTTTCATACGAGACATAAGATGTGACAATACCGTTTATATCGATATCGTCTATGTTACGTTATAATTATACTTGTGGAGCCGCAGGTTTGCCTCTCTTTCGTCCACTTTTGTCTCTACACAACGTTACTCGGCCTCGCCTCTCCTTCACTGAACACAACTCCGCCTCCCCCATAGCCTCACCTGCAGGCAATGACAAGATGAAAGCGGAAAATCTCCGTTAGCGAGTTACCGTGCGTGGGGCTGGACGGCGTCAACGTGTTAGCGAGCTGACTGCACAATTGTGAGCTTTTTGTTATGCACAAAAACAACATTGTTTTCTTTTATTTATGGACCATGATTATTTAATAAATGCTGATAATTTATTTTTGAGTAATTTCTTCGTGTACATCTACGCTGTATGTAAATAAAAGTGCCCGTGTGACATCTGGGACACAGTGTGACTAAGAACTCTCTTTTTGTTCTTAACTTATTGCTTTAAAAAAAAAATCAAAAAAAAAAAAATCGAGATATATGTCTTATATCGCCATCCAGCTAAAAAAATATCAAGATATGAATTTTGGGTCATATCGCCCAGCCCTACAATGACCCCATATCTACATTCATTATTTGGACTGGGAACATCCCAAACTGGAAGCTATCATCATTGGAGACCTCGTCCATGCTGGGTCTACTTGAGACCTCTGGGTCATATCTCACACATAAAATGGAGAACCAGTTCTGCTACACTTCAAGCCCCAGCACAAAAAGCAATGACCATCCTGGGAGTGAGGAACCTGCGGAGGTGACTGTCCAACTCTTGGCTGAAAAAAATCTGCTTGCCCAAGGTGTTACCTCTGTTCCTGAACCATAGGCAGGAAGGTAACAGCTGCTAGCTCCTCTGGTCACATAACACCATTCCATGAGTACAGCATGTGGCAAACTGCATCTACTGTAGAGCTACATTTCGTGTGCATTTACTGTAGCTGTAGTTGCTTTCAGTCATTTTCTGTCGCTATGCAATGATAGTAAGAGCTTGGTTTACATTGCCAAGAATAATTCTCAGTGGGTGCTGGTCTCCACCAAAGCTTTGTCAAATATTCTGTTCATAATATTTATAGAATTTATGTGTGCAGCCAAGATGTGGAGGAAGTCTCTGATTTTTGCAGATTATGTGGTTCTGTTGGCTTCATTGGGCGCTGACCTCCAGCTTGCACTGGTGCAGTTTGCAGCTGATTAAGACGCTTCAGGAATGAGAATTAGAATCTCCAAGTCTGAGGCCATGAGTCTCAGCTGGAAAAGGATGGTGCACAGACTCCAAGGCAAGGATAAGCTGCTGCCCCAAGTGTTTTAGTATCTCAGGATCTTGTTCATAAGTGAGGGGAGAGTGTCACAGGAGACTGACAGACTGGTGCAGCATCTACTATAATGCAGACACTACACCAGTCTGTTGTAGTGAAATAAAACCTAAGTATAAAAGGGAAGCTGTCTAACTACAGATCAATTTATTTTCCTACCCTCACGTGACAACCCAAATAATGTTAAATTAAAATTAAATTAAATTACCAAAAACTACCATAAAGGATTTTAAATAAGATTTTAAGCAATAACAAAAATATTTTTTGTTTCATGAATGATTAATGTAATCCAATCATTTTCTTTAATAATGAGACAAAAAATTCATCTTTGGCATTAGATTAAA